GCGTGCTTTCAAGGTAAGACAAAAAACGAAAGGAACGCTGTTATGGCAGCTTGACTGGCATCTCATCTTCTAAGCTTGAGATGTAAATGCCAAACAAAAGAAAATTGTCATAAGATTTCACACCATCTCATTTGTTGGTGCTTAACATATTTTATACACCTGCATTAGGCAAATACCCCAAACGTCAACATGGTTGTTGGGTTTATTTTGCTTGCTGCACAGTTAACGAGATTCCAACATTAATGCCAAGACGGGGTTTCGCCATCTCGTTAAAAACAATGAAGCAGAAACAACAACAAAAACTTGGAGGAAATCCCAAGCGAATAAAAAAAACGAACGGAAAAAAGGAATATTTAAGTATCACAAAAGCAGGACGACGGCGACGATGAGGACAAATATTTTTATACACTTTGATGCAACATGAGCGCAATTTGTACAACTTTTCTCGCTCAGCACACAATGTGATATCACAACACAGACACTCTCACAAAAAGAGGTTAAACTGATGTCATTTGAGTGGAAATGAAACTATGTTATCTAAATGTTGACGAGCAGTTTATCCAATAGGACAATTATGACTATTTTTACTACTCTAGATAATATTTCAAAATTCAATTACCAAACTCTCGTACACACACAACTAACTTAGCAAAGTATTCTATAAACTATGCGAGTTTATCATAAATAAATCGTATGGAAAAACATTGTTTGTAATTTCATATCGTCATCTCTTCTCTTCTTTTTTCTGTCATTTTTAAATTGACAACAATTGACCTGTGATGAGTTATCACACACACAGCTTCTAAAACGATTTAAATGTTCATTTGGAAACGATATTTGTTCACAAATTTTTATATTTCGTGTTTGTTTGTCATTGTGTACACATCCAAATCAACTTAGTCACGCATATATACAAAATACACAGATTTGTAGACATAACACACACACACCAACACGGACAACTGCACGTTTTATTATCTCATGTGCTATACACTGTTTATGTCCCCATGGGAAGCTCATTTTGGTGTTTTGTTTGGTTGTGTATGTATGTATGGGTGTGCGTGTGTTAGTATTTTTGTTTATATTTTATTAAAAATGAAAACTTCGTTGTGGTTTTATATTAACACACAATCACATAAACATGTCCACACACACAAATGCCAGCCAAAGCATCCCAGTAGAAAATACTCTCTTGCGTGATAATTTCGTTAACGAAACGTTGACGAAATTTATGGAATTGTCATTCATGACTAAACACTTGATATGTCGTCGAAAATGTCGTTCTTCCCGAAATATGAAAACAAAACAAAAAGTCTGAATCGAGTGTACTGTGAAATATTGACAGAAACAAATAGAAAATTCTTTCTGAAAATATATAAAAGAAATTTGAGATAAAGAAGACGTGTTTTCTTGGTTAAAATAGGTAAGATTAAAATAATATACAATTATTTATATCATTAATTTAATGCATTGTTTAACTCTTAGGATGGGGCAAATAAATAGCAATTGGTGAAATGTTGTAAGTAATATCTGAAAGATGTTTCATATTCCAATGCATTTTAATTTTGTTGTTTCTTTATAGATGATGTTAAAATGGGGATAATCATTACGCCAACTTCTCAGGCAATGTGCTTATTTATATTATATGATATTATGTAAATATAAGGTATGTTTTTGCAATATAATAAATTTCATGCTATAAAATAAAAATAAATAAAACAATATGTATATATATTTTTATTTGTATTTTAAATGAGGTATGATTGACGACAAGATTGATGACAATAGGTATACAGTCATCAACGAATGTGTAAATGACAGGAAGTGAATCTGTCGTTAACGAAAAGTAGGGAGATTAGTCGCCGAAGTTGTCGTCAACGACAACTTCGCTTACCCTGTCGCCCAAGTAGTCGTGCATGAACACTGCGACACTTGTGTGAAAATTTCCTCAACGATTTCACATTGCTGTCTGCAGAGTGTCTTCAAGGAATTGCCATTGTCTTACACGATTCGTTAATGTTGTCTGCAAGACACTTTCTACTGGGATACAATGTGAGTTCTGTTAGGAGGAAAAAATATCAACATGTAGGAAAATATTTGTATACAAATATTATGAGAATGAATTAAATTGCAGGAAATATTTTGTTTTATATTTACGGAAATGTGATTTCCATGCCAAGGTATACTAATGCATTGAAGAAAGGAAACGGAAGTGGAATTAATGTTTGTTTTAATTGTTGTTAAAATAATGGTTAAACTTTGGTGCACAATTTTTTATTTTTTGGCGATCACAAAAAAGGATGTTCGTTTGCCAGCCGATTGAAATTCGGAATTTGGACCATTTTTGCCACAAACTAAGTTAAAAAATAAGGAAGATCTTCACCAATTGGCTTTATCCTAGTTCATACGATAGCTATACATTCACAGAGAAACGTCCCAAAATTTAAAATCAATTGTGTTATTAGTTTTTGAGTTATCGTGCCCGCCATTCGCAAAAACGCAGTTTGAAGAAAAACGCGTTTAAAGTTTGAGAATCCCTCTCGCTGTCACCTGATGCTAACACAATAAATCGGCTATATCTTCAAAAATTGTTGAGATTTTCACATGAAAATTAATAGGAACATTTTTGAATTAGTGTAGGTTCAAATTAAATCAAAATAAAAAATTAAATTTTTTGAAACCGATAATGGGTGGGGTCCCCTTAAATAAATTCATTCTGGACTCATTTTAGGGTTGAGTATTTGGTCCACCATTAAGATTAAATTGGTGCAAAATACATGGGAACTACATATGGGCAAAATTTCGACAAAACATTACGCATAATTTTTTTGAAGTCGTGGTGGAAAAATTTGTATACTCCCACAGTCAGATGGACATTCAAAATACATGTATATGGGGCTATACATTTAAATTTCAATTTCATTATTGGACCAAATCCACTTTAGATCAGATATCCACACTGCGCCAAATCATGGAAAATACCCACGAAAAATAAATCTACACAATCTACCTATTCGTCGACTATAAAACGGCATTCCGCTCTAAAGTGTTAAAGACTGAAAAGTTCTATCGGAGTCCATCAATACCGTACACGAGTTCAGGCAAGAAGTCTAGTAGACTCACACCAACTGTGGAGAGCTTTGAGGTCAGAGATTTTATCTATCTCGGTACTGCCATTAATTAAACAACTAAAAAGTCCTTGAGGTCTAAAAATAGTTGCCAATATTAATAATTTTTGGCACGATTACAGCCAATTCAACATATCGAATTACAGCAAATTCGGTATGAAAACGAGTTATATGGGGGCTACCCCAAAACTTGAGCCAATTCGGTTGGAAAACGTGACATACATCTACAAAATATTGTGATCTCTATCACAATTTCAACAGACGGACAAACAGACAGACATGCCTCAATCGATATAGATATTAGGTTGGGAAAAAGAAATATTTTTTTTTTTTGTAAATGGTTTAAGACAGTTTTATGGTAGATTTTTAGCTCCTGGGCAATGTTACGACTGATATCGTACCGGTCAACTTCGATCATTTCGAACATTATTCCCAATTTCTTTTTCTTTGTTCACATCTATTTCTCCAAACAAAAACAGCAAAATAACTTTTTAATGGATTTCTTTTTCTCCAACCTAATATATACTTTATGGTGTCTCCGGTGAATATTTCGAGGTGTTACAAACGGAATGACTATGGTGAGGATATAACAACTGTCTTCAGTTTTTAAAAGGATAATATTAACATATATATGATACTATGGTCAAACTAAGCCATTTATAAAACAGACCCCTTCTTGCATTTTAAAACTCAAAATTATATATGGATCTCAAGCATTGGTACCAGATGAGGCAGCTCTGGCTTCGAAAAATCGATAACCCAATATGCTTAGACGGTGAATATCGACGTCCAATGAACGAGATGCACCAGCTCAAAAATCATACAGAAGTTTGTCTACTGACGATTCACGCAGAAGGCAAATGACAATAATTCGATGGAAATATCAAGTAAATGGAAAAAATAAAGTGACAAAAAATATTTGGAAACTTAGTGTGTTAAATTTGAAAAACTGCGCAAAAGATGTAAAAATTGCTGTCAGAATAAAATGAAATGTCAAACTGTAGGCTTGAACATAAAGAAAATGAGACCTATACAAAACGTGGACCGATATTGATAATTGTTGCTAGAAATATTTGAGACCTAATGAACACTCTGATTACAAAATTATAACAAAATTATATAAAAGTACACACAATACCTAGAAAATATACAGTTAATATTCGGTGGAATCCCTTGTATGTAAAATTTCGTAATGTTCGGGTATCAATTGTGGCCTCTAGAACGACCTGAAAAATAAATATAGACAAACATAATGCTTTTGTCAATTTGGTCACCTAAATATTAACCGCTTATAAAAAATCTTATGCCGGAACTGTGATCTGTATTACGTACATTTAATGGGCAGACGAACAAACTTATATATCTAGATCGATACAAAAATATAGGGTACAGAACCGGTATTTTGGGGCTTAAAAATAGTTGTGTAGGGTATACAAAATAATTTACATTTAACTCACACATGTATTTATTTTATGATTTCTTTAACATCATGTGAACCCAAGACATTTATAAAGATTTGGATACATATTGCCTGAATATCGAAAACAAATTGTTTGCAAACAATAACTATTCGGTTATAATGTATTCCTTACCGAAGGATTTTAATCATTTTATCATTGCAACCCCTCCATATTACATTGTTTTGTACAATTGTACATTGTTTTGCACAATTATTCTCGGTTCTCAAAATTCATTTTTTCTTTATTACGAGGGCTACTATATTTCTGGTATATTAAACTCATTTTATATTTGACTTTAATTCTTCCAAAAAAATGTTATCCGTTTTAAATCCCCAACAGTTTAACAACAACATTTTTTATATTGAATAATATTTCATCATAATTATAACAACCATACGTTCATTATTCTTACCTGTGTTGCTGATGAAGTTTCAATATATTTTGCACCAATTGTAGTTGCCAGGTCCCAGGCATCTGCATACGAGATTGGTTGTTCACCATTAGACTATTCGAGTGGAACGGAACAGTGAATAAAAGCATCAGGTTAAATAAAATCAAAAATTCAGCAATGCACACATGAAGCGTTGGTGAAGGAAATGAAGAAAAAACAAAACACAAAAAATAAAATAAATAATTAAAAATATACACATACGAAAAACTGTGCAAGTAAAAATAACAATTTAATCAACATAAAGAAAAAACAATAATAACAGCAACAAAAATCTTTTAGCTCATGTTGCTCAAATGCAACTGGTTGCAGTTGTGCTAACTTTTTTTCCATCAACTTTATAATAATTTAATAATATTCTCTTGAAATTTATTTTTTTTCAGAACGATGTATATTCATGTTATTTCCGTTAAACTTTAAATAAAAATAAAATGTTCTTGTTGCTGGTGGTGTTGTGATTTTGTGTTTTTTGTTTTTTGATATCGTGGTGTTATGGTAGCTTACCTGTAATTTATTCAGTACATTGGTATTTGTACGCAAATCCGCTTGGGTACCGACCAACATCAACGATGCTTTTGTTTTGGCAAATTTTGGCGCCCATTTAGTTTTGATGGCATGGAATGTTTCTGGTTTAGCCACCGAAAAACATAACAAAAATACATCACTATCTGGATAGCATAGTTCACGCAGTGGATCTAAGGTATCCTGACCGGCTGTATCACAGAGTGTTAAATGCACTGGACTATCGTTGACCATGACATCAGCTGGAAAATAACAAACAAAATGATAACATAAATAAAATGTTATATGTGAGTTTATAAAGATTAGAGGAGATATAGGTTTTAGAAAAGGTGTTTTTATTTATAGATGGAAAAATTAAAACATGGAAAAATTTATGTGACATGTATATTTATAATGAAGCTTCATTTATACAATCTCAAAAGATTGAGATTAAATTGGTATTGAATTTGAAACAATTATATTTTTTTGCTCGAGTGTCGAATGCTATGAGCATACTAAATATGTCCTAGGATGAGGTACTGTCGACCAGCTGATACTTTTTATACCCTTCACTACACTGCGGTACAGGGTATTGTGTATTTTTGCATATGTTTGTAACAGGCAAAAGTAAACGAGATATGGTTCCTTTTGAGAATATGCATAGAATCACTTTCTGAGTCGATTTATGCATGTCCGTCCGTCTGTCTATGTTAAATTGTAAACAAAGTACAGGCCGCATTTATGATCCGAATTAATTGAAATCTGGCACAGCTCATTTATTTGGCCTAAGAACGAACCCTTTTGAAGTTGGGAAAAATCGGTCCAGTTATATATATATATATATATATATATAAACGTCCGATTTAATATAAATGGTGTACTAAAGTTCCAATATATCTTTCGATGTGGACGAAATTTGGCATAGCGTACTGAATTAGGTCTAGAATGATGTGTGCTAAGTTTCAGGAAAATCTTTCAAAATTTAGATATAGCTCCCATATATATTTTCGTCTGATTTAATATAAATAGTTTATCAAAGTCCCTATATATATTTCAATTTGGATGAAATTTGATATATCGTTATGAATTGACATTGGAATGATGTGTGTTAAGTTTCGTAAAAATCGATTCAGATTTAGATATAGCTCCCATTAATAATTTCGTCCGATTTTATGAAAATGGTGCACCAAACCCCATGTATTTTTCCGATGGCTGTGAATTTTTTTTTTGAAAACGGCTTAGATTTGGATATAGCTCCCACACATAGTTTTGTCCGATGGTGCAACAAAAAACCAAGGACTGTCCACGGTTGCTCAAATAGGTCAAATAGGTAGATTTACATATAGGCACCACATGCATTATTTTGCTCGATTTCATACAAAGGGTACACCAAAGAATCCGATTGACATGCAATTTTTTCATAGATTTCAAAATGGTATGTGCATGGGGTTCTTTTGTTTCAAATATCTATGAAGATCACACATGTAGTTTCGCCCGATTCCATTTCAATGGTCCTCTAAAGACTATATTTATTATCATCTCTTGTATGTATATATAAGTGGTGAAGGGTATCATATAGTCGGCCCCGTCCGACTTTTGAACTTTCGTTAATGGTTTTACTTAAAATTAATGTGTCTACATTTCATTTTGAGAGAATTTCCGATTAAAATAAACGTAAAGTCCACTTTAAGTTAGGTTTTCAATAACCTTTGGATATTTTGAGTGGTGGTGTGGTATATTTTCCATAAGTCCTACTAATATGTAACAGTGTCACATCATCTTCAAATTCTTTTTGTAAAATCAATAAAATAAATCAAGTCCTTCAAAAAATAATTTACAATTATATAAATATTGAGACAAATTTCGAAATTGACCATTGTTAGCTCTATAATACCGTAATGTCCCAAAAGCATTCGAAGCCCAACTTTTTTGTCTTGATACCAGCGTCAAACAATTGTCGCTATGAGAATAATACGATGCATCATAATCATACATCATACTGCTACAATTGTCCATGGCAACTAATAGTACATTATTGGATAATAACTTCAACGTATGCATGTATGTTTGCATATGCGTTCTCCCATTGTGTTCAAATGTGTAACATTATCCATCTATTTAATGGCAAACAATGCCTAAAAATAAACGCCATTTAAACAATGGTGTATAAAACCTTAAACCTTTCTGATATAATGCACAACATGCACACACACACAGAACACACACCTTTACACAATGACAACATCGTACGACTAGGCCCAGTAGCAATATATACGATATGTATGTCACACACAGACACACACGCAGCATACCGGTGACACTTCAAACCCAGTAGTTTTGTATTGTCATCGGTGAAGGTAAGTTGGTGAATGGCTAAGTGAAGAGACATTTGGGCCATGGTATTAACGTGTGGCATCTAGCCATCTTTCACGTAACATACATACGCGCGTATGTATGTACAATATTCTTTTCATCCTGACCTTCAACTACATCGTTGTTATATGCTCAACTAACATCATTATAATGAAATTAATAATGCAACACATTGTTAAATGGCTTGGTTGATTATAAAGAATATACATACTTATCCTCATGTCGTTGTCGTTTTTTTTGTATTGCTTCGTGTGTGTGTTGTATTGAAACACGTTTAGTGTTGTTGTTGTTGTTGGTTGGCTGGATGGATGGGGCTGGTTCGTTTGGTTGATAGTCTATGATACTCGTGTCGTCACTTAATATCTGATATGTGTAAAATTAATTCACACATATGTCTACATATGGATATAAGATATCTTCTTTTTGGAATATAATAGGGGGATGTATTAACTTTTTTCTAAATTCGAATTATTATTTGGAAAATACAAATAAATAAAAAATCCGTAATATTTTTTTACAATTCCAGACTCAGTAATCACGCCCATTTTCTACCACCAGAGAATTCGCAATATGAGTGAGTTTGACAATCTTAAGAAAAACGAAGTAAATATCGACAGTGCCGAACTTTTTACACTTTTTACACTGATGTATAAAATAAAAAAATCCCCAGACATTATTACAGGAGGAGGCATTTCGTCTTCTGAAAACCGAATTATAAATCACAGCTGCATCATTTGGAATATTCGACTATGATCTTCAATAAACGTGAAATGCTCCGTGAACTGGGAACTGTATCCAAACGTAAACCTATAATAATATATTTGCCAGGATATTTATACCCTACACAACTATGTTGTCAGGGTATTATAGCTTTGTGCAGCCCCAAGAGTTTGTAACGCCGCGAAATATTGGTCCTAGACCCACCTTTAAGTATACCGATCGTCATATCTCGACTAGCTGAGTCGATCTAGACATGTGTGTCCGTCCGTCTGCCAGTCTGTCCATTATAATTTGTAAACACGATACAGGCCACAGTTATGGACCAATCTTCGTGAAATTTTGCATATAGGATAGGTTCTGGCCAATGAAGACCCCTATTGTTTTTGGGAAAGATCGGTTAATATTTAGGGGATGAAATGGACCAAATACTAAATTTTTGTCGGTTTTTCTGGTCGCTCCAGAGGCCGCAGTTATTGTCCGAACATCGTGAAATTTTGCATGGTGAAGGGGATCGGGCCAAAGAATAAGCATGCCTGCTTTGATAAAGATCGGTCAATATTTAGCGGGTCAAATGGGCCCTGACTTTTGTGTGAAAAATGACAAAATTTGTATTCTATAGCGTATATATTTACCCCTTAAGGACATAGAACCGAGAAGTTGATATTATATCCAAGAGGAGTGGTTGATCTTTAAATTAATATCAATTATATTTTTGTATGTGCTCGGATGGTATCTCCGTATTCGTATATTATTTAGTAACCCAATATCACTCTAGAGAGCGGAACTATAGCGCTGGTCGATTTGAAATGTACCATGAGGTTCCAGTTATGGTCAAGGACAACGCCTATTATTTTCGGGGATGATCAGATAATAATTTTTGGATGAATTGGACCGAAAACTTATTTTTTGTTTTTTTTTTTTTTTTAATTCGATCTATAGGCTACAATTATAAGCCGAACATCACAACACAACCCACGGTGAATAGCTGTACTGAATACTCGTAATATTCGGAAAATATGCCAGTGTGAGGAAGAGGTGCTGTTTACCTCTAATTGGTCAAGAGGGTGCAAATATCACGAAATATTGCCTAGACTCGGAATAAACTACCGCAGAAAATTTGAGTTCCGTGGTAGTTGTGTAGGGTATCGTATGGTCGGCCCCGTCCGACTATACTGCTTCGCTCACTGGTTTTATCCCTACCACAGGGGCTATATAAATACATTGCCCTAAATATTCTTCTAATATGGTTTTCAACCTCCAAGAAACCAGAACGGCAATAGGAGGTACGTCGGTTAGAAATGCAGGTATAATATTAAAAATACCGGTGATATGATACGTTATATGTGTGGTATGTCAAAAATTGGACCTATATTCTCCTATAAAGAATTTCCGAGGAGTTTTTTATTCGCCAAAAGTCCGGCAACGTCCAGCTACTTCGGATAAAATATGGCAGGAAATTTATATGAGACTATTTAAAAAGTTGGACCTATATTTATTATTACATTCGAAGAGCCCAAAATGGAAAATTATAGCTTCTTCGGTTGGAAAATGCGGATTACCAAATAAAAACGTGACAGTCGGTGTTGCCATCAGATATATAACCTCAGCATATGGTTTGCGGAGGTCTACGGAATAAAACACAGGTTTCATTATTTGGTTTATATATGGTATAAGTTTTCTCTAAGCATTGAGGAGAGGTTTGAAGATAAGCTTGTTCTTAAGATCCCATTTTGCAATTTAATGTAGGTTTGGAAAAATACTACGATTTGCAAAGTTTGAATCAAATCAGACATTTCATTATCTTGATATTATATGAACAACATTTAAAATGTAGACATTTGGTGGGGAAGGTACCAAAAGAAGTGAGCCAACGGGCCCTATGTCCAAGCTTGAATTATGTAAGTTAAATATATTACCATGTGCAAAGTTTGAATGACATTAAATTTTCCATTCGCTCCATATGAGATTTACAAGTTTTAAAATTTTTGATTCTTGTGGAGGTGGTACTAGAAGGAGTGGACAGATAAGTCCCATCTTTCAACGTTTGAAGATAGCAACTGCCCATAAACAGCCAGAATTGACCAACAGGAAAGGTGTCGTGTTCCACAGGACAACGCTAGGCCACATCAACAGTGACTCGCCAGAAACTTCGGGAGCTTGGTTGGGAACT